GCTGCAGCTTCGCTTGGGTCAGCGCAAAGTCTTCGGACTCTTTGTTGATCTAAGAAGAGCCTTTGACTCTGTTAGTCATACACTCCTGTGGCAAAAACTTTTTCATTTGGGAGTGACCTCAAAGTTGATCAAGGTTCTCCAGGACCTCTATGAACATGCGGCGCTGAGAGTTCGATCTGGGGGCAAATTCACGGAGCGTATCGAAACTGCTGCAACTTCCGAAGTGCACTCCCGGTCATCTCCTTCGTCACGAAGTTGATGCTCCTCTTCTTGCACTTCAGGTCGTCAAACAGACCCTCAGCTGGTTTACGCAGGTTCTAGCATTGAGCGAGAATAGACTGCCTAGGATCTGTTTGCTCAGATTCATGAGTCTTGCCACCCCAGTTCTCGTTCACTACGCTACAACCCCATCCTGCAGCTGGAAGCCCTGCTGTCCCCTCAGAGTATCGTTTTTGATGTCACCAACCCAGAGGTTGATTATTGGTCCAGCGAGTGGCCGAGAGTCATCGCCGAACTTAAACTTCATCTTTTGGAGTTGGACCGCAAGCGAGCTAGCTTATCATCCTTTGCTCAACTCCAGCTACAAAGAGATTCCTCTGGTTCTCCAGCTAGTTACCTGCGCCAGCGTCTGCCGCTTGTGATGACAAGATTCAAAGCCCAGACGAGATTGGCCAACAAGCTCCAGCTTTTCTTCTCTTTAAAAGGTGTCTACCACACGATCAACCCTCTGCAACCTTGCCAAGTCTGCTCCAGTGGTGACCTGGAGAACATAACCCACATCCTACTAAACTGCACGCAATACAAGGACTATCGGAATTCACTCCTTCACGATTTCATACCCGTGGGTGGTTCCCCTGAAGTCAAGGCAAGAGCCGTCTCACAATTCCGGGATTCCAAAGACTCCAGCACCACGAAAGCTCTGTTTTTCTACCTGAAATGTTCAGTCAAACGTCGTTCCCAAATCCTTAGCCCCTCTCCCTCTAACAACTACTCCAGCCAAGTCAGTCTCATTACCGATTATTTTAGGTCAATCGAGGATCACCTCTCTTAGTAGGGTTCCACCACCAACTGGTGTACATACAATGTTGTTTTTATTTTCTTGACGGACCCTGTAGCTCTATTTTTAAGTTGCCTCCCTCTGGACCTCGTCATCAACTTGCGCAACTCTATTGTCTTTTTCGTCTTCTCTTGAGTTGCTGTCAGTCTCATCTTTCTGTTGAGCCTTTTGCTCTTTTATTCGCTTATTCTCTGGACCGTTCTTCCCCCTCTATCAACTATGACTTATGTAGCTAATATGTATATTTTTTTTGTTTTTCTTACATTTCTACCGCTTTATAAAAACTGTGTACTACTCCTACTGTGTATTAACACTGCTACCTGATTATGCTTTGCTATGCTTTTATTGTATTTGGAAACTACTATTCTAGTCTTAAATTTGCTGTAACAAGGTTGTACCTAATGAAAACCAGCAATAAATTGAATTGAATTGAATTTGAATCATTGAATACCCATTGTTATCAGAACTTGTAAAATCCGAGGAAAAATTTATTGGATTAAAGTTAAAAATCCATGTTAAGCAAAAATCTGTCTTTCTTTTTATTTCTGGATTGTCTAAAAAGCACTCACCATTCCCAGCTATTATCGTAACGGATAGGCTAAAACAGGTGAATTCAATACTCATATTTCCGGATTTATCGAAGGTAAGTCTGTGAAATCATGACGTAACACTATTCTGAGGGAGGTCCGGATGATCCTGCGATTGTTCCTTTGTTGACTCATTTCCCCTTATTGCCCCCACCGCCGCTGTGTTTCGTGGGCTCACTGTGGCTCGTGCAGTCGCGAAGGTGTGGGCCTCTTCTTGATCTTTTTCCAATGTCATTGTTTTATTTAATTATGATCGCGTTTTCCTATCGGAAGCTGAAATTTCTTTCTTGTTTCTCCGTGGGGGTGGAGGGTAAAACATCAACATTATTATTTCATTTTCTTTTCAACGATGCGCAAAAGATGTTCAAATTTTCTACCATCCATTGATAAATAAAAATTTCTTGGATTTTTCCTTTAATAATTCCGACGAAAATTCGGGGAATTTAAATTCTCAAAACACTTATTATTTCGATTGAGTCCCTACCCCAACCTCGACAACAGACGGACGAAATCAATACTCAAATTCTATGTGAAAGTGTCGCCAAATATAGTATCACAAAGTCACAGATATTATATTTAATCAATATATCTTACAAAAAAAACAGAAATGAGGGAATAAGAGGAAACTGGCGAATAGGCGAGAAGAAAAGCAATAGACAATATCCCTTGTGTCAAGTCTTTTATTTAGACTACCTGGAAGTAAATACTACGGTCGGCGCTACCGCCGAATGTCGAACTTTAGTCACTTTACTGTCTCTCTCTAACAAACCGTAAAATTTTCCTCAAATATCATTTTCATTCATTTTAGATCAATCCCAACTCATTTATTACAAAAAAAAAATTCCAACGGGCCCCACGTTTGGCTCCAATTGAGACAGGCCTTTTGTTTTAAATAGAAAGTTAAATAAATAGCCAACAAACAAACAGAAAATTGGAAATAAATAATTTGGCTGAAGGCCTATACTTGACGCGGCCTGGGTCAAGGGCTGCCAAGGCTCAAGAAGTCCATCAATAAATAATATCCGACAATTAAATAAATTATTTGGGCGCCAGTTAGTTTATCGATAACTAACAACGTTTGCTGGACTCAACTCAGGGAGTGGAACGTTGGAAGACCCAAAGTGAATAGATTTTGACAAAGAGAAAGAGACAAAGGAAAATGAGGCAAGAATATTATAATAAATAATTACTCACAATAAATCGTCGACAATACACTTTAATAATTACTCTTGGACGTTCTCGTGAGTCGACTCTTTCACACAGTTCCAAAGACAATCAGTCAGATGAATAATGTACAAAAGTAGAATTAACAGGATACAATTAACTAAAAGTGTCCAAACGATAACGCTACCGGGCGACGAGTGAGATCATGGGCCCTAGACGACTTGTTGCGCGAGGGAAAATCGATAATTTGGCGCAAGCGCGGTTGATGTCGACTAAATTTCTCACTCCACGCAATTCAAAATGAAATAGTTGACGAAGAATAAATTAGAAATACGTGATAATTTTCTTTGGTAGCTGCGAGACCCCCGAAGACAAGCAAAATTGCATCGACATGAAGGGAAAAATAATATATCCTGTCACAGAATTCTTAAACGATTGGAAATTTAATACAGGATTATTTATAATTATATGTGGAGTCAATGTCAGTTAATGGTTGCAATGTATATTTATTAATTAATGGTAATAGCGTGTTTCTCTGAATTGAGGAGAATTTGTTTGCTGGAGTGGCGGAAGCATTGTAGTTGTACGTAAAATGTGAGATATCGAATTGAAAATTACAAATTAAATGCTGAGTATGAATTCTGAGTTACTTTTTTCTTTTTGGCACTTGACATTGCTTCAGAAGAGGATGAAATTTAAATAAAATTTCTGAAAAATGTGTCGGTGATTATTTTGTACCGCGGGAATACTGGATGTGGGGGGAATTATCAGTGAGAAATTTGTCAACGGATAAATTGTCATCGGTTATTTTCTCGCGCAAATTTTCTCCGCGGATCATACGTTACGGAACCGTTGACTTAAATCAAGTCGAGCTCCACTTGAATCTGGTCATAAAACTGAAATTGACAATATTTGAATATACTCAATTCAAGCCGTTGAAATCCATTTAGATACATTAGATTCTGAATTTGATTTGATCCTTTTCAGATCATGACGAAGTTTCAAATTGAATCAAGACACTTTGTTTCGGGCTACAGATATTGTATTCATTTTACTTGGTTAGATCAATGTAATTTGGAATTTGTTTATTGTTTGTGAAGTTGCCATCCGAGTGGCGTCGTTGGCCGATGAATTCAATAATTCGAGATGAAAAAATTGATACAAGTATCAATTTCACAGAGCGTAGCGAGAGCGCTTCTCATGTCTATCGCCTAGTCGAAGAAAACATGCAAGGTGACAGTGAACATGTAATAGTGAGCATATGACAGAAGGTTTTCTATTTAGGCGTGTGTTTATCCTTTGTTACCATCAATAAATTGATGGCAGGATTCTGAATGCTTCCGTTTTGGTCATTTGAAGAATTATTATAAGCCCAATCAAATTGGCTGAGCAGTTGATAAGATATTGATTGAGATACACTTAAATCCTGAAAGTTGAATATCTCCGAAACTAATCAACCATTTTAGCGCATTTTCAATGCAAATCGTTGCAAGTATGAGAGTACACTTCAAGCCAATTTTCAAGTTAATATCTCAATTGTTCTCGAAAGTTAGAGTGCATACAAGAGTGCGTACAAGACGCAAAAAATGGAAATATCTCCGAAATTTTATATGAACGTGTATACATATTTTACTTGCGATGCAGAACGCCGGAACCATCATTTTGAAAAAAAATTGAAATCGGGTAGTTCTCAAGATATTTGCCAATAACGATTTGGAAACAAATTGTGATTTCTCAAACAACGCTAAGTCGATCTGGCTTGAATTGCCCACAGAGCGGGTACTCCTGTATTATTCACTTAAAATTTGATAAAATTTGAGGTTTTTTGAATTCGTTTTCGCCTTTTAAGTCTATGTTTCTCGAAAAATTAATCAGCGACTGGATATTCACAAATACACATATAGTCGTATTTTCAATTTTTAAACCTTGCTACATCAATTCCAAACAAAATTAGACAATATGATAACTGAACGATTTCAAATCTTCTATTTGAGAACATAATAGACTTCGTTCAAGTACACAATGACTCAAAATAATGTTTTATAGGACCCTAGATTCTTTACAGTAGCGGGTGACATTTTAAAGGACTGCGATTTGAATATTTAATTAATATATGGATTTTGTTGTATTATTGTTGAAACTGAAATCTAAATGCATCCCCAAATAAACCCGGCATAGGGTTTTTAGAGCATTCATCTAAAAAAAGCCATCCTCATAATCACATTAATTTCATCAGATACATTTGCATATTGATAAGGATCCATCGCTCAATCATGCTCGGCAAAGATTTCAAAAAAATTATTGTGCGTATTTATTCAGGCGTATAACAAAAATTAATGCATTATCACCCACCTATTTCTTTTGCGCATGCTTTCAGCGTGAGGACTCTTAATATACTGCTCGACGATCTGTTTCCATCTGCGCCGGCAAAGCCATCCACGGAAGAAACTCTGAACTTTTTTGATTTTTTCTATATCCGTAGATCCTTCACCGATACCCCTTAAATTGCTGCCAATGCCAGTAGTATGCATATTTGAACCGTATATACCACCGAAGGCCGAATGAGAAGATGTACCAATGGGATAACCAGTCGTCTGGGACATAGCTCTCTGCAGTATTCCGCGTTCTGGATAAGCCGGTGGGGCCACTGAGCTTGGCCGCAATTCCCGCTTCAAAGCGCATAACTAAGTAGAAAATTGTTTTAATGAAAATTTACTCAACAAGTGATGCTGCAAAATTCATTATGGTTAAAAAGTATGTGTTACTTCTCTTTACGATAGATGGCAAAAATTTCATATAAGCTGTTCTGTACATCTCATACTATTATGCAAAAACCACCTCCTGATTTTTAAAACCACCTCCTGAGATTTAGGGAAAACTAATTGTTTGGAATCATTAAATTTGGTTTTTCTCGTTGCTAGAAGAAAAAAAAATGGATTGCAATTCATAGCCTCTGCTAATAGCTTATTTACAGAGCCCGGTTACGCTCATTTTTATCCTTTTGGACTATACTTTTCGATAAAGAACAATAAAATTTTTCAAATATTGAGGCAATTTTTCATATACAGAATTGGCGGATTTATTCATATACTTTATACTATTTACCTGGAGAAATTCTCCATCAAATTTTTTATTTACATCAACCGAAACGTCTGAGAGAAAAATATCATTAGAGTTTTCGTCTCCAAATGAACCACTTGAACTACCCTTACAAGAATGACATTTAATTTTGGGACATCTTGTAGACAGAGAGAGAGAGTTAGCAGAAAAGAACGTAACACTCATGGAAATTTGAACTATTGGGTTGTTGCCAAAATAATTTCGGTTTTCCTGAAAACATATCTTGAGCCACGTTTCTCAACAATTTCTGTCGCTAATAACATTTGTACGGTTTGGTTGAGTGCGGTGTAATCTTGTTATTACTTTAAACGTAGACAACAAACAATGACGAAAGGCCTGAGATCGTAGGATTTTTAATTGAGATTTACAGGGCCGAAACACTTCGGCACAAAACTGTTGTTGTTTTCCTTGGGAAACTCAAAGGATTATTTCCTTTTCCAGTGTTAATTTTTCGAATAATCAATAGGAATTTGGTAATATGTGAAAAATCATGAGATGTTTTGGAAAACTACACCACTCTGTAAGGCGTTATGCTCTGTACAGTGAGAAATATACGAAGGAAAATCATGAATTGATACCGAAATATGAGAACTCATAGTCTTGTATTTCTTATCTATCCAAATAATATCACATCCCTCCGGTTGTGGTATTTCCAAGATCCATGAGTAAAACAGGAGGTCAAATCATCAAGTGAGGTTAAGGTTGATCCATATGACTCGAGAAAAATGACAGTATGAAAATGACAGTATGCTGATAAAAGAAAAAAGAATAATATTTGGATAGTAATTTAACGATTGTGTTTCTCTAATAATATTTTTTCTCGTAGGTAGAATTTCAATTTTTCCATTTCTTTAATGTGACTAATGAATGGTAATTTTAGACCCGACTGGATTATTCATTTTATTTTATTTTTTATGTGCGAGCTGACAAATTGTTGGAAATTGTTTCATTAACATTGTAATATTACACGGTAAAACCATCCCTATGATACAAATAGTTTTGGGTATTCACGAGACAGTTCACGGTGGATTCTTCAAGTATTTTCCCTACTTAATTTGAATCATTCACAGACGACTACATGATTCAATTCATACGAAATTTTCGGGCCTATTACATAAAAGATGGGTTTAATACTGGTCTTTTTTTGTGCAAGACCCTTCTCGTGTGGATTTTTACCACTTCAGTCTTTTTAATAGATGCTTTAGTATATGCTCCAACAGTTTTTTGCTCATAAGGACCAGAAGTACTGTAGCGGTGGAATCAGGACGTTGTAAGTGGAATAGCAGATTGTTATTGAAAATAATGGAGAATATATCATCAATTAAACTACATTTATGTTACAATTTTTTGATTCATTTCAATTCACAGAAACCGCTATTACTTTCACAAAAAGTCTAAAAAAGTCTTTCCAAGAAATCATTTGACAACAAGGGAAGAGTGCGAAGAAAAAGATATATGTTTCCCATCCATTTTATAAATTCAATCTGTTTGTAAGCTGATTCGTACATAAGATTCTCCGAATGAGCGATGCCAGATGCGAGTCCCACAGGTCCCCTACACGTTGCTCAAGTACCACCGCGCTGCCTTTAGGGCGCAGAGCGTATGGCGTTCCGTTTAAATCGTTTCAATTAGATCGACAACGCCATGACTTATTATTTCACTTGCTTCGATGGCCATTGTGAAGGTTTAAGTGTGTGAAATAAAGTTAATGAGTGTTAGGCGATGTGATGATCAGACTCCACGTAATCAATAGAGCAAGGGTTGGATGTCACAAGAGGCAAATATCGCGAGGGTTTAACATCGCGAAGGTCACAAGAGAATGATAATATTTTACGTAGATTGAATGTTGCAATGGTCAAACTCCACAAGGGTCAAACACCGTGAAAGTCATGAAGATCACCAGGGGATAGATGGTCGAGCTTCACGAGGGTGACGAGGGTGAAAAGAGGACCGTCAAATTTCACGAGGGTCATATTTCACCAGGGTCACGAGAGAATGATTAAATTGAAGGTTAACCGTTGTAATTGTTAAACATCACGATGGTCTGAAAAGGATGGTCAAACTTCGTAAGGTGTATGAGGGTCACAAGGGGATGGTTAAATTTAACGAGAATCAAACATCACGAGGGTCACAAGGGGATGGTCAAACTTTATGAGAGTCATAAGGGTTACAATGTGTCACAAGGAGATGGTCGAATTTCACGAGGGTCAAACACCATGTGGTTCAAATAATCCATACGCTAGCCCAGTTTCTGTACCCACAATGGAATCAAGTAAATGTTATTATTGAAATTTACGTTTCCGGGAATGTTGAACCTGAGTCCGGAGTCGGCTTTTGCAAGTTATGGTTGATTTTTTTTATTTATAGCAATTTATAGAAACGGCTGCAGATAGGTAACCAAATTTTTGGAGAAAAAATTTCAAAAATATAAGAATACACGTTTTTTGTTGTATAACTTTTTTCTCTAATTCTAATAGATAAAAAGATATCGGGGGTGCGAGCGAAGCAAGCGGTGCATTAGTCCCTGCGCGAGTTGTCGGCGATAAGCGCGTGGACCGCCCGCACTCTCACTTAACGGGTTATATCTCAATAAATAATGGAGAAATGACAAAACAACAATACTAAATCTATGTATTTTTTATGGATGAATTACTTTTGTGCTACATTTTTCTGCGTAGTTCTAACCGTTTACTTATAAGACGGTATTAAACGAAAACTTTAGATGTAATTAGGCTTGTCATGCAGCAGAATAGCATTCAATATCCCATAAACGGCTAGGTGTAGAGAACAATTTAAAAAAAATAATTGTATACAAAATCTGATGGCAAATATTTTTGATCTGAATTATTTTTCTCTATCTTTATCGAGTTTGCCGAGAAACCGATCGCAACGCGCTGACAGCTCGCGGGCTAACGCGCCACCCGCTTCACTCCCACCCCCTATAACTCTTCATCTATAATAGTTAGGGAAAAACGTTCCAAAAAAGAATGTGCATTGTAACACGCTGAACAGATTTTGTTTGAAACTTTTTTCCTTATCTGCAACCATTTCCATGATATGATGGTGTAGCAATAAAACATTTACTCAATTTCGTAATGCATACTGGAACAGGGCTAGCGATATGGACTATTTGGCCTTCGTGAAATGTGATCTTATCGTGACCCTCGTGACCTTCGTGACCCTCGTAAAATTTGACCATGTCCTTGCGACCCACGTGACCCTCGTGAAATTTGACTTTGTTCGTGCGACTCGCGTGATGTTGAACCCACGTGATGTTTGACCATTGCAATAGTCAACTTTTGTGCAATTCAATCATTCCCTTGTGACTCGCGTGATGTCTAACCCTCGGGGCATTTGATAATCTTTTCGTGACCCTCATGACTTCGTAACGTTTGACCCCCCTGCAATGTGATCTTCCACTTTTAAATTTGTGACCCTCGTAGTGTTTTCCCTCGTGAAATTTGACCATCTCTTCGTGACTCTCGTAAAATCTGACTTTTCCTTGTAACCTTCGTGATGTTAAACCCTCCTGAAATTTGACCTTCTTTGATCTTCTTGTCATCCTCGTGCCTCTTGTCATGCTTGACGTTCGTAAAGGTAGATCATTCTATACTAACCCTCGCGAAGTTTGACCCTTGCAACATTCAACCTTCGTGAAATTTAATCATTCCCTTGTGACCCTCATGATGTTTGATCCTCGTGAAAGTTAACCTTCGTGAAATTCGACCATCTCCTTGTGACTTTCGTGACCCTTGTGATGTTGGACCATTGTAACCTTCAACCTTCGTGAAAATTAATTATTCACGTGTGACCCTCGTGAAAAATTTGACCATTCTCTTATGATCCTCACGAAGTTTGACGTTAAGTTAATATCGTGTCACAAAGTAATACCATGTTCAAACATGTTAATATTCTTAACATTGTTCCGCGTTATCAGTGTTGTTGTGTCAATGTCAACACCTAATACTACGTTGAAAGACAATTTCAAGTTTTTAGATCTTCAGTGGATTCGAATGAATCAGGAATAGGGACCATTAATCAATGAATTAATACGTAGAATGCTGTAAAAATAGTGTTGTAATTTTGACTACATGATGTTCATTTGTTTTCGGTTTGGAAGAGAATTTCCGGTATAAAATTTGCGGGGTTTCAATTGCGGAAATTGTGTATGGCCAGTGGCAGTAGGTACGCGGCAGGGGTAAGTAACAATACTCCGTACACCGGGGAGCTGCACACGATAATCGCACGCATAGGATTTTCGACCTCATCTGGCATCAGTGCTTCAAACATTTATAATAAAAAGCGTTTTAATTGAGATCACATTCTGGTCCACAATCATGGTTTGAGACATTTTCCGAGAGAGCTTGGGAATGTGGAATTACAGAATTGATAACACGATTCATAATTTTCTATGTTTATATTTTTCTATTCATTACGCATACCTCAGCACGGAGCTTCTTGATTTCCGACGCCAGTTCCTCACATTGTTGCGTGTATTGCCATTTAGCCGTTTTCTCACTTTCGACGATTTGCAATAGATGCAAATGCTTTTGCTCCAGTTCTTCTTTCTGAAGTAGTAACTTGTTGAAACTATCAAAACAAAAATGCTATATTAATAATTCGTGTACAGCTTTTATAAGTATGTACCCGCGGAAAAGTGGTTTGTATTCCCAAAAAGACGTTTTCGACCGTTTCCATAAGAATAATACGATGGTTTTGGGCCATAGTCGGTCAGATACAAAAAAAAGGAAAAATAATAAATAAAAACGAAAAGCTATACAACATATGTAATGTAATAAACAACGGTGCCAGTGCTATAAACCTTCCTCTTCAGGTGCTTAACACTCCGTTGGTCGCGCTATGAGCGACGTATCACATCTGTTCCGATTTTTCAAATGGCACTACAGTAAAGTCTCAGAAAAATTTGAAAAAATTTAACATCTCATTTTGAAGTGTCTACAATCCCTATCGATAAAAATATCATAAGTTGTTAGATTTCCAGATTTTCATTGCGAAACTCCAGGCCGTGTACCGTGTCTAAGGTGAATTTCCAGAAAAATATGGCGACTTTGAAAAATCGCCACAGAAAATCTCACGGAACTGTTCGGAACCAAATTACTAATTTATTAGCAAAAATATGTTGACTTCATTGAGACGAAAGTATTTTGCCACTTGTTTTTAACTTCCTATTACTGTATCTAATCGAGTGTGGTTCAGAATCATTGGTGATAATGTTCTATATTGAGTAGATATGCAGCTGAACACACACACATACACACGGACATGCACACGGACACGTGCACACACACACACTCATACACACACACATTCATTCATCCACGGATCCTTTCGGCGAGGAACGCCTTTACCCTCCGAGAGTTTTCGCAGGTTGGAAGGTCCTGCAACGTGGCGCGTCTCCAGGTGGTGGATGGGGGAATGCTCGATATTCTGAACTGCCGTTCAGAATATAGGGTATCAATTAAATAAAATACGTCGGCGCGAACCGACACCTTCCGAGAAACCCAACTCTAAAAGAGGTGTGCAGGATGGGCTCCCTAGAATACCCCCGGGTCAGGCTCCCGAAAACAGCTAGTGTAAAAATGATGAGTGATGACAAAATTGAAAGTTCCCATGCGGGTAGCCTTAACAAGGAGAATCTCGCCATCATTTCTGATGCCGGCTCAATGGATTATGGGAGGAGCCAATCATCACATTCATTAAAGGTGGACTCCTTGGCCTCGGATGCTACAAGGAGAGACGAGTTGCAGACTAAACAAGAGACGGAATACCNAGGAGAATTCCGCCATCATTTCTGATGCCAGCTCCATGGATTATGGGAGGAGCCAATCATCCCATTCATTAAAGGTGGACTCCTTGGCCTCGAATGCTACAAGGAGAGACGAGTCGCAGCCTAAACAAGAGACGGAATGCTGCAATGCATGGGCACGACTTGAAAAACTCATCGCAGAACTTCATGAGTATGTCCAGCCCAGGATAAATGTCCACAAGGAGATCAAGTGCAAAGTGGCAACTATCGGCAGCGCGTTCAAACGCCTCAAAAGTTTGGAGGAGGCACGCATCAAAGCACGACCCTCCTTCACCAAACCCGTGCAAACTCCACCAGCACCACCCACGTTGTGTTTACGGACGGACTCCGAAACGACGGCAAAGGACTCGGATTTTGAGGATCCGAATACCATGCAGTCGGCCCGAGATGTCCGGAAGGCAGTGCGGAGAAAGCGCTCGATAGGCTCACCTGCGGCAGAAGCTCAAGCTTTGAAGAAGCTGAAGCAACAGGATCTGACCAGCAAGGCAGCCCCGCAGATGGTGGCAACTTCAGATCCACTTTCTAAGCCTGGATGGATGTAGGTGAAGAACAAGAAGGAGAAAAAGAGGCAGGCCGGACAGCTCCATCCACAGCTGCCTCCCAAAAAGATGAAAAAGAAAAAGAAACAGGAGAGGGCTAATAGAAAACAGAGCGTGGACACGTGTATTGTCAAAAGACGCGGGTTTAAGTGAAAAAGCTGCAACTTGGGCTGTAGCTAATGCTGTGAAAGCCAAGACCAGCTTTGGATTTGGATTGAAGAAAAGAGTCGAGAGGAAAACTAGTAAACGTGGGAAAAGTCCTGTGAAAAAGAAGAAATCATGTGAACGTGGTGCTCCTGCAAAAAAGCATGTTGCTCTCAAAACAATCATCAAAGCAGCGAAACAATAGATGCGCCCTGGAGATGCGATCAAATCAGCTCTTCAAGCTGCACGAGATGCTGTCCAAAACGCTGGAGGAAAGCGCTCCGTAAAATCGCTAAGAGTATTACCAGTACCCGGAAAAATTGGTGGAGTACTGCCATTCTTGATTCCCTTATTTGCTGGGTTAAGTGCCACGGGAGCTTTAGCTGGAGGCGCCGCTGGTATCGCAAAAGCTGTGAACGACGCGAAAGCAGCTAAGCAGTATCTCGAGTAGAGTAAACGTCATAATCAAACAATGGAAGCAATTTCAATGGGTAAAAGAGTGTATTTGAAGCCCTATAAAACAGGACTGGGACTTCATTTGCAACCAAAAAAGTCATAAAGCTACCACACCGAGCCCTCAGTGATGTTGATATCATAAAATACTCGAAACTGATGAAAATTCCATATTTCCGAGGAGTTTACATGAGAAATGGATTACCCATAAATGGACCTCAGGTAAATGAATCAGCTATAGTGAATTTGGATGATAGGGATGGTCCTGGCATTCGCTGGGTGGCATATAAGAAACGGAAAAATGAAATCATTTATTTTGATTGTTTTGGAAATTTACGACCACCAAAAGAATTGATGGATTATTTCGGTGTTGGTAGCCTTGTCAAATATAATCATCAGAAGCATCAAGAGTATGATACAATCATCTGTGGTCATTTATGTCTGAAATTTCTCAAAGGACAGATATAAATATCGCTCAAATTCATTCATTGAGTTAGTTTACTGCTGACAACCATGGGAGAATCTTTCACATTAACACTGTCGGAGACCTGTTCTATTTTGGAAGCGAATTATTTTCCTCCCATTGAATTATCTCACAATCATCACTATAGTTTGGCTCTTGTTGAATTATTGACATTCAATTCAATTTCAAATATTACAGAAAAGAATAATAAGTTCTACTACTCTGATAATGAGAATAAGAAATATACGGTCAGCGTTCCTCAAGGTAGTTATGAGATTGAAGATATTCAAAATTATTTGCAGAAGGTTCTGCAGAAGAGAGGTGTTTCAATCAACATAAAAGCCAATAATAATACTTTGTGTAGTGAAGTCAAAAGTGATCATACAATTAATTTGGAACCTCCCGACTCGATTGGTAGATTATTAGGATTTGATAACAGAATTTTATCACCTAATAAATCACGCTGTAATAAATCAATCTGATTTGCCGGTTAGCATTCTTAAAGTGAATTCTATGTGTGTGGAGTGTAACATCACTGGAGGTGCGTATATTAATGGGAAGAAAGCTCACATCATTCATGAATTTTTTCCCACTGTACCTCCAGGATATAAGGTCATTGAGGTGCCGAAGAATCTCATTTACCTTCCGATCGTGGTCCAAGCAATAGATCATCTCCAGCTGAGATTGGTGGATCAGGACGGTGAATTGTTGAACTTCCAAGGAGAATTAATCACAATAAGACTTCACATTAAACGTACCTAATGGGTATCGTTTTCCAAACGAAGGTCGGGAAGAATTATAAAAGGGAGTCATCCCCCTAGATGACTAACAGTCGTCAAAGATCAATCAAACCGTTAACACGTGAGAGTATTCAATTCCTCAAGTGTTTAAACTTGAGACCTCGAGTGTAAATCCAATTATAAATAAAGAAAAAATAATATATTATGGAGGACATCTTCAAGATTCAAAAATCTATCATCTTCGATAAGTCAGTTTCTCACTATGAGATCCATACCCATCAACCCTTTGCTTCATCAAGCTACGGTAATAATGATGTGATTTCAATTACTGTGCAACATCAAGATTTATGTTTATTGCCCAGTAAGAGTCATCTGCATATTAATGGTCGATTAACCAAAGATAATGGAACAACACCAACCGAGAGAACAAGACTCGTAAGTAACGCTATCTGTCATCTGTTTGAGGAAGTGCGATATGAGCTCAATGGTGTGGAGATTGATCGAGTGAAAAATGCGGATTTAACGAGTCTTATGAAAAAGTATGTTTCTCAGAGTCCTAACCAGTGGTTTTTGATGGAGAATGCTGGTTGGCTCAAGAATGATAGTATGGATAGTAATGAGAAAATCACTGATAATGCAGGATATTTCGACATCTCTATACCATTAAGCCTTCTACTTGGCTTCGCTGAAGATTATCAGAAGATTGTCGTGAATGCAAAACATGAACTCAATATTACGAGATCGAAAACAGCATCAGTGCAGTGCTTCAGAGGGCTGTCAGTCAACAAAACCTTGAGGAGAAATGGAAGATTAACCTCCAAAAGATTGAGTGGTTGATCCCCTATGTTAAAGTGTCGGACGAGCGCAAAGTGAAGCTGCTCAATTTCATCACAAAAGACACACCCATTACAATGGGCTTTCGTACATGGGAATTGTATGAGTATCCTCTTCTCCCAGCAACCTCGAAGCATGGTTGGGTCATANACAATCATCACTATAGTTTGGCTCTTGTTGAATTATTGACATTCAATTCAATTTCAAATATTACAGAAAAGAATAATAAGTTCTACTACTCTGATAATGAGAATAAGAAATATACGGTCAGCGTTCCTCAAGGTAGTTATGAGATTGAAGATATTCAAAATTATTTGCAGAAGGTTCTGCAGAAGAGAGGTGTTTCAATCAACATAAAAGCCAATAATAATACTTTGTGTAGTGAAGTCAAAAGTGATCATACAATTAATTTGGAACCTCCCGACNCTCAATTGGAGAAACCAAGATACGTTATTCTTGGATTCCAAACGAGTCGTAAAAATGCTCAGACGGCCAATGCAAGTCACTTCGATCATTGCAGTATCCGCAATGTGAAGCTTTTCCTCAACTCAGAGAGCTATCCATATGGTAATTTAAATTTGGATATTACC